TTGCATGAGAATCGGTGGGGGCGAGTGGTGGGGCGAGTGGTGGGGCGGGCCCTGAGCAAACCAGTTGAGTAAACTGCTCGTGGCCTCCATGACCTCTCAGGAGGAGCACCGGGAGACGACTCCCCCGGGAGTGGAGCCCCCCTTGCCTCCCCAAGTTCAGGGCTCACCCATGCGCCGGGCCAGGGCCTCATCCTCCCCGTCGGTGAAAATGAACGTCTGGAAGGAGAGACATGGCCTTGAACAGGCAGCTGTGTCCCCGACCCCGGGCCCCTGCAGCGGCCCAGGGCTGGGCATCCGGGCTTTCAGCGGCTACAACTAGTCACGCCCACTCCCTGCACTTCCCTGGGCCTCAGCTTCCCCACGTGCACACAGTGGGGCTCAAGTGCCCTGCCTAAGTGGAAACAGGGCTGGGGCTTATGCAGACCTCACCCCCCCAGTCGACAGCTGGGCCCAAGGTCACCTAGCAGCTGTGCTGGCACGAGCCAGGTGGGGCGCCCCGCCCACCCACCAGGTAACCGGCTCCAGGCCCGCCCAGCGCACCTGGCAGGGCGCACACCCTTATTGACACAGCGCCGGCCCCGGGGAGGGGGCAGAGGGTGGTGCAGGGACAGGCAGAGGAGGTCGGCTTTGGGAAGCCAAGTCTCAATCAGTCGAGGACAAAGGCCTGCGCTGGGCGGCTGCCAAGTCCTGGCGGACAAAGGGCCCGGCCAGAGGATGAATCACCAGGCATTGTCCGCCAGCTTTGTCCCGGGCTGCGGGCGAGGGGCGCCCGGCCGGCCTTAACTCGGCCGTGTTAAGCGAGAGTGGCCGCACTGCCCATTACCATACAGCTGGCCTGGTTAACTGGGCCGGGCTGGGCGCAGGTCCGACGGGCAGGGTGTGGCCACAGCGCTGCAGTCCTCTGGGCTGGGCCTGGGGGGGCGGGGGCACGTCCCTGGCTGTGTGACCGGCGGGCAGGTCACCGTCTCTGAGCCAAAGCAGCCGCCGCTGTTCTCTGGAGATGCCGACGGTCCAGGCAGGAGGCAGGAAGCAGCACGTGCCCCAGCCCACGGGTCAGTGCCCCCAGCACCCGAGCAGCCCAGCAGCCCTGCTCCCGCTTCTGGGCGAGGGAACCAGGCTGGAAGACAGACCTGGCCCCAGCCACATCAAGGCTTCACCTGTGCCAGCACAGGGCCACCCCCTGCCAGGATCCAGCCTTAG